AACCCTTTTTGGCCAAGGCCATCAAGTGATTTCTTTATCGCCGCCGATATAAGCCGGAGATGTTTTATGGGAAACAAATGCGAGGCCTGCTTCACAGCCGGTCTGCATCATCAGCAGTTGCTACAAAGTACGGCTCACAATCTCATAAACTCGATTCGAATATTTGCTTAAGAATGTCATAAAAAGGGCAAACAGGGATAAGCCGTAAAAGCATGTCTAGAGCGATGGCTACTAAACATTTGGCTTAGATCCCGATGAGCTGACCCCTTGGCCCCGCACAATAATAAATATGTTGCGACCATAAAAAAGTTGGCTCGAGTTCGTAAAGCCCGGCCTTTTCGACTTTTTTAATTGTGCAGTTGGCCAATAATTTTTTATTGCCTTCTAAACGCCGCGCGACGTGCGGAAAATTAAAGCAATTGTCTGGGTCACCAGCACGTCACCAGCACGGTCTCCATTCCTTCCAGGCACCGCCAATACAAATAAGTTCGAAAATAAAACGCGGGCGCGCACCACAAAATTGTAAACAACATTTAATTTGATTGTTCGTTGCAGAAGGTTGGCAGAAGGAAGGCATTTTATAATTAAAATTTGTACTGCAATTGCTTTAATTAAAGCCGCAAGGTGAGTGCCAAACTTTACGACCAATACAAATTGAAGCCACTTGGTGTGAGCTCGAGCCCGGGTATAATTCGAAACTTATTCCGAACTGGCAAAGTTTGCTTTCAAATTTATGGCGCTTTCTTCAGGGGCAGACTCTAATTAGCAGCGGGCGAATAAAAGTCTCGGTCTTGTTTTGGCATCTAAATGATAACTTTAGTTTCAAACAATGTCAACAAAATCTGAAGGCGTAATGTAAAAGAAAAGTTCAATGAACTTCACGGAAGGGAATGTCCGCTTCTACCCTTAAATGTGTGTCATGCTGCAGGAGAAACACTTCACTTCTCCGACATCGAATCACTATCTCAATAATTCAAATGAATTGGCTTGTAAAGCTAACCAAAGCTGCCAAAGTGGCAGAGGGCTTCTCAGCAAAAACCAATGCAATGCTGTCTGACTCTGAATGCATTTAGGACGTGTTTATTTATAGTATTTATTATTTTAGCAGCCAAAATAAAAAGCAGCCATGCCAGTCAGAACTTCGACTTGTTAGGGTGTGTAACCGCGTCCTTTGTATCCTCCTGGCAACTTCTCTCCATCGACATGACGAGCGAATTTGCTGCGAAGACAAACTTGTTGTTTGTTCCCTAAGTTGGTGGGTTATCTCAAGTCGAACATCATCATCAGCAGCACATCAGCTCCGTAGCAGCATCATCGGCTTCATCAGCATCCCAGCATCCCAGCATCAGCGCCATCATCATAATTTTCTGGCCTCGCTTATCGAACTCAAAAAAAGTTAAGAATAATGTACACTTCAACATTCGAGCCATAGTTTGTAAAGAAAAAAATCTGCAAGAGATTGCGGAAGCCACTGGATGATGGCAGTGACAGTGGAAATGGAAATGGACGGGGAGGCGAAGGCTGGCCCAAAAATAGCGAACATAACTCGGGAAAAGAATTTCCGTAAAGTATACAGCTGGTAAAATATCCAGCTTCTTTGTTTGCCCCTGGGAAGTTGGACAATATGAGTTCACTGGGTGTGTGGTGTGCGAGTGGTAATGTAAATGAAATGAGCCTTTGTTTGGTGCCGGGTAATCATTAAATTCCTCCGATTTCCAGGCACCCAATTTGCACTGCCTGCTGGCCACTTCGACTGCGAAATGGGCAAATATTTATAACTGCAAAATGCGCGGCAAATTCATCAGCTCTAATAGCCTGCCAGTTGGGGAAACAGTGTGCGGTTGCCAGCCAGGCGCCGCTGGTAAACTCATTCGGAATCCTCCCCAGGCCCGGACCAGGCCCAGGCCCAGGCCGAGAATCCATCCAATGCCCCACCATCCGCATCAGATCACCATGCCTTTCATGCCATCCCATCATCGATGCTGCTCAATGCAAATGTTGTTGATAATGATTTGCATTTACGCGCATTACTGCTAACCCATTTCAGGAATGGTGAACTGCGCACGGAAGTGCACACAGAAAAATTGCTAGCGGGCTTAAAGCGAAATTTAACTTCAGTTAATAAATAAAAGGGCACATAGGACAAGTCAGTAATTAATGGCTAACGTATAGGTACGTATTATTTTAAGCTAATAAAATATTTGCACTTCAAGGAATTTGAAATGAGGTACACAAACTCCGCCAGTTCGCTAATGCAAACCTATTTCAGTTTGCTAATGCGAAATGATGGGAATTCTTCGGACAGAAATTTCTTATGCAAACGCAATTTATCTTCCTCAAATTGAACTGTTCCAGAGATACGTGTCCGATAAAAGAACTGACGTATATCAAAAGCCCCAATTCGGGGAAGGGAAAATAAGGATTACCCAAACTTTTTGCGAACTGCGAAGGAACTTCTGCCAACAAGAGAATAACATACTTTAATAATAATTTGTTGACTTCCACAATTCGCCAGCTATCTGGCTGGTTCAATACAATTATCTAAAGATTTCTTCCCACTTATTTACTTGGGACCTATTTACTTTTTGGACAAGATTTCGTCGTACTTTCGGTTGGCCTTGTTTACTGTTTACAGAAATGCGAAACCGCAAACACAACTACCGCCCTCGATTCAAATAGCCAACCTAAGACAACAAGAAATACTTGCGAAACCCAAGTACTCCGAAAACAAGGAATGGCTGAAAAAAATATGTTTAACACCGAGCAAGGCGGGGAACCAAACTCGTGCTGATGGAGCGAAGTGCAAGGAACAGCAGAGGCCAACTTTAGACATCAAAGGATCATAAAACGCACTCGCACTTCCCCTTGGAAGGGGAAGGGACTAAAAAGGGTCCTGTCTCGCAGCAAACCCAATTATCTGGTCTTGGGTCACCACCAGTGTGGCAGCAGTGGCAGCACAAATTGTTACTCGACAAAGTGGTCAGGTCTGGAGCAGATGTCATTGGCTGCACTCGCCTGTTTCCCATGTAGTCCGCTGGTCATTATGGGGAAAAGATCAGAAAAAATTAGGACTTCCAGCAAAAAACGGAATGGTAAAACGCGGTGCAAATTGAAAGTCGTCGCAGAAGAAGAAAGAGGTCAGTGAAGGAAATGCCAGACATGTTTGAGCTTTTTTCTTCTTTTTAAGGCAAAAAGTTGTAAGGGTGCAAGTAGGACGTTCAATAGTCGAAAAGGGGTAATATGATTCCTTTCTGACCATTTTACCATCAACAAATTTGGAAGGACTGAGCTTTAACATAATACAATTATGTATCACGGCTTGTCTTCCCCAAACGTAAATTTAACATACCTAGCTGAATGGTAATAGATACTAAACTTTTGTTTTAGCCCGCACAAGTCTGGGAGTTATAAAAAAAGTATCATATTTTAGCCACTGGCTTTTTCGCAGCAATCAAGTTATCCCGCTTGGAAGTGTGGGACGAGTTCCGTAATTTGATTGCCATCCGCAGGACGGCTCAAGTGAAAATTCAAATAAAATGCCTTTGCAAATCCAGGCAGCGACTGGCAATGTTTTATCGGATATTGAATACATTTCCAAGGAGAAAGAAATGTTTAAGTGGTGGATGAAACTGTCCCTACAAAGTGTTCACTTTACTTTCACTCTCTCCATCTCCGTTATGCAGCTTATCTTAAAGTTTTATTTTTATTTTTTGGTCTTTCTTGTTGTTCCTCGGGTCTTATTTTGCCGGGTGGAGCCAGGGAGGAGCAAGGACATTTCCAACTGGCTTCATCTTGTTTGACTTTTCCTGCCTTGACGCGGGCCCTGCTGAGTTGTTGGACTTAAGCCAGCGGGGATTCCCCTTTTTCGCCGCCGGCCACCTCCTCCCAGGATCCTCATCCCAGGCTGTCGTCAGGCGAGTCAGTCATCAGCATCAGCATCAGCAACATAGTGAAAAATATTTACTGCCTTTCGTCGGCTACCGACTTTCCCCTGCTCTTCCCCTGCTTTTCCCCTTCCCGTTCCCCGAAGTCCAGGCCCCTGTGTTTCTTGAAAATTGCTTCGCTTACGTCCAACCCACTCGCTCCGAGAGAATTTTCCTACTTGACAGGACAACGACAAATTTTACGTGTTGTTTCTTATTTTTACTTTTTACTCCACACTTTTTGTTTGTTTTCTGCCCGCCCTGTTTTTTACACCCGTCGTTCCCGGGGAAAACGGAGATGTGATTTCCGCTGCAATAAAATAGACTGGCTACCTTAAAGGCTTTATGACTCTTGGAATTCGCCAGTTTATGGCTTGTGTTATTTTTATGCACTCTACTTGGCTTTTCCCCTTGGCCAGGCCATAAGTGTTGGCTCATCTTTGTCTTCCCCTCGTCACTTTGATGCCCCAAACAAGGCCGCCAGTTGGAGTCACTGCCAAATTACCATAAAATATGAAATTATTTATGCATATCGCCATCGAGGAAATTCGTTTGCTGGTTGCCGCTTTTATCGCTCACGTCAACGGAGGGTCAGCAGAAAATGGGTTGTGACTTGCTGGTCAAATACTTACTTTTCGACAAATACTTGTATAAGAACTACGGAATTATCCACTCCATGTAGGTGTTTTTCTGGAAAACAGGAAAACAAGCAAACAACAAATAATTCCATCTTAAAATAAAACAATATTTCCATCGTCTTCTTTTTTTATATAAATCTCTCTAAATCTTATTTACGCCTGCTGAAGATAAAACACAAATAATTCTGAACGCCCATCCACCAAATGAATTCGGTTAGCACCAGCGAAATAACTCATTCGATGCATTTGCGCATTTAGCATCGATAGCAGATTTATAGCAACGAGATGATTTAAATGAAACTTTTTCCATTTTAATCAATAGCTCGCCAGAGAATACTAATACACCCAATCAATTAGTTAAGCCTGATAATATTCATAAATAGTTTACCATTTGGATGAAACCGAATGCAAGCGGGCAGAGAGAAACACAGATTTAAATAAAGTTTCACATGATTTATTGAATGCCTGTTATTTATGATGGATTTTTATGATTCAGTTTTATTATTTTCATTTAATAATATTTCTCTCCGGCAATAATCTAATTATTGATTCGATTTCACAACTTGAAATGGGGTCTGCTTAAATTGAATTTTACATTAGATTGATTTGCAGTATGGTATGGGGATAATGTGAGACACGCAGACATGAGAGTTATGGTAACGCTTAACCTAATTACAGAGCCGTCAATTCTGTTTCGACAGCGCTCCTGCTGCTGCTCCTGCTCCAGATCCTAATCCTCCTCCACATACACCTCCACCTCCCGCCCCTGTTGTCATCCACGCTATTTACAAGGCCGCCTTTAATTAATCTCTAACCTAAATTACGAAACTGCAGATGGCGCAAAAGCTTACAAATAATTGCAAGTCGGACGCCACGACCAGGCGTTCAATAGGCGAGTCACGTCTGGGTCGGTGGTGTGTGCATTGCTCCCTGCATCGCCCAGAGGAGTCCAAGGATTCCCAGGAGTCCCAGCGTCGAGTTGAACGTGCTCCGACCGCCTTTCGTCGTCCTTGCCGCCGTTGACATGATGGCCGATGCGGAATATTCACCTGTTGGCCATCGCAATTCGTCGTGGTGGCGACAGTTGCGATTAATATGAATCATTCATTTTGCACACACATACAGGTGATGGGATAGGATATGATGGGTCCCATCCGCATCCCGGCGGCTATTAACTTACCGCTTAGCACGTGCAGGTCCACGGACACGGAGACACTGTTCGACGGCTGGCACGTATAATTGCCGGAATCCTCCTTCCGCACGAGCGGTATAATTAATGAGCCGATCTGCAATAAATGTTTATGTTCAGTGGCACTCAACTAGTCCATAACCGTCGCTCCCCTCGTAAACACCCAACTAACCGTATTCTGATTATCGCCCACGGTGCCAAATATATTCCGATCCAGCTGCGTATACCAGCCGGTCCGCTCGTCACTTTCGCTTATCTTCTTCTGGCCCCGGAACCAGATGATGTACTTGGGCGGATCCAAGGTGCCCCGTACGATGCAGTGCAGCGCCACCTTGCTGCCCGCCTTCACGAAGCGGCTCTGATCCCCAATCAGCTCAGTCTTGGGTTCTGTGAAGGAGGCAAATGAATGGGATCACAGAGATTACAATTACAGTGCACTGAAACAATCGCTTTGGAACTTTGGAACTGGCAAGAAAGTAAAAATGTGCTTGGAAGAGTGGCTTGCTTAAAACACTCACTGACTATCTGCAGGTGGACTTTGGCACTCAGCTTTGGCTCCGTCGCCATCTGACACTCGTACCACCCGGCATCGTTTGGCTCCACGTACTTGATCTGCAGGGACCAGGTATAGTCGTGGTCCTCCTGGTATATGGACTGGAATCGCTCGTCCGCTATAAAGGTGGTCTCGTCCACGCTGATGATGTGGTTATCGCGCATGCGCACCCATGAAACGGGCTTATCCGACAATCGATGTATCTGAAAGGGCAGTGTATTACTAAGGGAAAAGCAATTTGAAATGGTGAAGGGACTAATTCAGAAACAGCTTCCTAAGAATCTTAAAAACAATTTCCATTAAATGGGTGCGATTTACGTGATGAACTATGCATTTAACGGGTACATATCAGTGATTAATTGCCATGGTACCCTTTCTCCGAAAACCAGTCAACTATTAGGGCATCAAAACTCAAGGCAGCCAGCATTTACATAACTATTATTATGTTAATCGCCGCCAATCTGCCGCTAATGAGCTTTCACATTACCCGGATTGCATTCGATGTTGACTAATCCATACATGAATAATTACCCCGGCCCGGCGAACTAATCCGGCCACGTTTGCCTGTCGCTTCGGTGTCAAGTTCCACAAAGGCGGAAGAGCAAAAAATCTGATGGCTCAAACGACGTCAACGGACGTTGAATCTGAGATCCAAGTGAATGTCTGAGGGCCGGAAATGGAAATGAGGTCGGATCTGAAGGCGGATTCTGGGTAGGGGGGTGCGCATCCTTGTGCTAAAATATTCTCACAGTTGGCGTTTCCTTTGGCCCTATTTTTCGTAGGGCTCCTGTTTTAGCCCTGTTTCTGCTTTCACTTGTGGTCCGGCACAGATCAGCATAATTTCATTTGCATATCAACAATTCATTCTGTTTACGTTTATTTTTTATGACGTACACAAGCGCCCAGACTCTGGCTTCTATTTGCCATTTACAATTCCGCACAATTTATAAATATATACACACATATATATTCGCTTTTTTTAGCCCAGCCTCTTTTCAGAACCTCTTCTTTGGGCTTTGTTAAATTCCATTCAGTAGGTACCTCTGGATGTATGTATATAAATGGGGGAAAGAAAACACCTACGAACCCATGTAAATTTGATGTCTGTTGTAGCCGTATGGAAAATACACTGTGCAATATGTATGCATGCAAATAAGTGTTTCGCTTCCTTCTATCCAGATGTATCTGTATCTGTATGTGTATCTGTATCTGTATCTGTTTCTGTTTCTGTAGCTGCGGATGTGTGAAAGCGTGTCTGTGTGCAATATGTAAATGCTAGTTTTATCTCCGGTCCGTTGAAATTAAAAAGGAATTGTGAAGCAGATGGGGGGACACTGAGCCAGTCAGTCTGTCGCTGGCTTGTCTTCGTTTAAGTTTAGGTTTCGAGGAATTCGTAAGTCAGTCAGGGTCGTTTGCCTTGAGTGGTTAAAGTCTTAATGCTCGAATTAAATCCTTGGTGACGTGTGTGGCCTTGAGGTCTGGCTAATTTCTTAAGCTTGGCTGCAGCAAATTTCATCTCTGCATGAAGTTGTTGCTCTGATTTCAAGTTAAGGCTACAGCTCAGCAGCAGGTTTAATAAGTATTTGCTAAGAAATTGGCAGACGTCCTTGTATATACTATATTTTAAATTGATTTTCTCTAAGCCGCACAAGTCCGACCTTTTTCCGTTACCTTAAATGTATGTTTATTCTCCATTTTTAAAGCTTCCCTAATGGGATAAACCTATAAGCCGCTTAACTGGCTGACAGCTATTTATAACACGTGACATTTAATTCAAATATAATATTCGCAATTAAACGTAATCTCGTAATAAAACCCTTTTTTTCCCCAGCGAACCTTTAAGGCTTAACCGACTTACGTCACACGATGTTCCGCGACCTACAGGCGAAAAAGTCCAACGGATTGTGCTACACACAACAAAACAATGCACTGAAAACAAATTTAGCTTAAATATAACTAGAAGAATTAAACAAGAATTATTTTCCCAACCCTTTTTCGGTCAATTGATTTTTAAAAGCTTTAAGTCCTTGTTAATGTGGAGCACTTGAAACTTTTGGTTAATGAGACCATATACACAAGTCAGAAAATTAAATCTATAACCCTGATACGTCCTACACAGTAAAGAAATTCTAATAAAATTATATTCTATTTACCACGAAAGGCCTTTGAATTAGCCTTATCTCACATACTTTTTAAGCGAACAATAGTATTACTGCTTGATATTTTGGTACTTTTCCTAGCACACTTTTATGGGTAACTATTTTTCCAGTGCTCTCCTCACTCACCTGGCACGGCATGTAGGCGTGGTTCCCCATCTGGGCGGTGATGTTCAGCACGGGCATTGTCAGGTTGCGCCGCACCGCCGACCCCGCCCCCTCGCCGCCATCGCGGTGGGCGACCAGGTAGGAGTGCTGCTCATTAAACATCTGCCGGCGCTGCTCCTCCGGCGACATTGTCACCGCTTCCGAGGATGTTTTGGCGGCCGCTGCCTGGGCCGCTGCCTGGGCCGCTGCCTGGGCCGCCGCCTCTGCCGCCAACTTGGCTGCCTCGGCGGCATCAGCAGCGGCGCGGTAAGCTGGCAAATCCGCAGCCGCAAAAACGGGAAATGGCGGCAGGAAGGTCGGAATGGAGAAGCCCTTGGTCAATGAATCAGCGACACCCGGATGCACCGCGTTCGCCATTTTTTCACTTCGCCCCGCCAGTCGCTCAATGGAGTTCTGCACATCCGTTTCCGTTGATGCTGGATAAATTGTTGATACGCGCATCTCTGCTGCGGTCTCAGTTGCTGCTGCTGCTGCTGCTGCTGCTGCTGCTGCTGCGGCTTGTGTCGCTGCTGCTGTCTGCGCTTCTGTTTGCCGTACTGTGGCCTGAGTAGTTAGCCCAATTTGTGCTGACTGGCTGGTTGCTATCGCCTCCTCTGCTCCATCTGCTGATGACATGCCCCGGGCTGCGGCAGTGGAGCTCCATGAGCTGGTTGCCTCTGTCGGTGATGCCGTTTCTGCCGCATCTGCCGCCTCTGTCTCTGCCCCTGCCCCTGCCCCTGCCTCTGAGACTGCTGTGGCTGGCTTTTTTGCTGTCGCTAAGTTGCTGGCTGTCGTAATTAGATCGTTTTGTGTTGTCATTGGGCTATCTGGCAGAGTGGATCTTGTGGCCGTCGTAAGCTGTCCCTCAGTGCTCTTCCCTCCCCGCGTCAAGTCCGCTGGATCTGGAGCACTTGCTCCCAGTTCCGGGTTGCTGCAGGTGACTACTTCTGTGGAAGAGAAATAAAGCTGAGCACGTTGGTAAACAGTACACTTGGGCAGACAACTGCTAATTAGAGTGGTTCGTAATTAGGGTTCGTAGTATCCAAAAATGGAATTAAATATATAAATCGAGCTTCCATTTTCGCAAAAAAGAAATCAAGGCTTAGGTAAATTTGGTAATTACACATAAATAAAGGACAAGAAATGAATGAATTAAATTGAAAGTACCAAGTGTATAGCCAAATTTGTTTTCTTAATTCGTTTCCACGCTTTGGCCAGATATTATAATAATAACAATTATCAAGCATATGCATACGTACGCTTCCTAAATAAATAAATGTTATAAATGTATGCGGCGGACATCAAAGCTCTGGGAAATTGAGGAAAATTATTGCAATCGGCTTATGCAAGGTGAATGAATTAAAATTCCGGTAAAACAAATGTGATTTCCCACTCTTCGGCCGTGGAAACGATGTCACCCACACTCACACTTCCCGCGCCACATGTACACATTTCGTTTCAGTTAATTTTCAATTACGCTTTTATGCTAATTAAAATCATAAAAATTTGCCGCTTAATGTCACCGCCTGTGGCGGTTTTTATTTCATTTGGTTCTCAGTTTCCTCTTAGCTTTTAATTTTTTTTTTGCCACACTTTTTGCAGCTAAAAGTTGTTTGTTTTTGTAGCTTTGGCTGCCTTTTCCTTTTACCACTGTTGGTTGCCGTTTCCCTTTTAAACTTTTCCTTTTTATGTTTTTGGCTTTGTGCCCTAGAGGAAAATTAAGCATACAAAATAAATGGTAACTTTAGCAACATAATCATTCCATATACACGTGCATCAAACGTCCTTGGCTGAAGTAACTCTGCGCCTGGCACCAAGTGGCTATGTTTAATCAAATAAAATGCAGCCGAGTTGCAAAAAGTGTTAGTGTAAACATGCAACATTTGTGGAGTACTGCATTAAATTTGCTTTTATTTGCGCAAAAAAATCTGATTCATTTATCGCAACTATCGCGAAAATATTTACACAACTGATGGCCAAAACCAAAATCAATTTTGCTCCGCACAAGTGATGTAAAGCCCCATCAATTGGGGCAAAACTTTATTAAAAGATTACAAAGCTAATAACTTCAGGCAATAAATTCCAAACAAAAGCAAAAAAAAAAGAGCAGCTTTTTGACTAGGCGAAGGCAACACCACCATTGATTAGCTCAACACAACCACTCAAATAAAGTTATTTTAAGCAACTTTCTGCCCCAACACGCTGGCAAGGACATGTTGCCCCAGGACACTCATCCACTAAATTGGGAGGCAGGGAGCAAGTAGCATGAAGTGCAGTTTGAACTTGGCACTCCAAGTCATGGAAAAAGTAAGTTTGGCTAACCGCAAAAATGGTGAACAGAAACGTTAACATGTCCAGCTGCTGTGGAAGCGGTTTGATTTCAATATTGCTTCTACACTTAGTTTTATGTGTGCATGCTCTAACATAAAAGTTTATTAGCCCGGAAACAACTTTGGGAAAATTCCATCAGTTGGAAATTTACGTTGGTAGCAATATCAGAATCCCAAAATAAATCAGTATTATTCTTCCTGTCGTCTCCCATAAAATCGGAAATATTCGTGAGAGGAAAATGAACTCATTTGCGGCGAACCAACCACCAATGGCAGCCAGTTCAATGGCCAACAATGGGGGCCCGAGTTGCACGGACTGGGATTTGGTACTGTTTTCCAGGGCTAAGATATCAGTGGGTTGATAAAATAGAATTTGCATTTTTAAATTATTTCATTTCACGTGCTTGTCAGAGCCTTGATTTAGGTTGAGCAAGAAATTTCAGCCGCTCTCGTTACCTTTCGGCTACCCTGAAATTCTACGTGTCTGCTGGTTCACAAAAAAGACAAAAAAAAGAAGAAAAGCCAAAAAAGTGGAGGTAGAAGTGAAAAAAAAGGGAATCCACAAGGCAACCGCATAAATTTGCCCACGAAATCATTTCGAACGAATGCGTGTGATTTGGTTGTGTTGATAAGGTCCACCCAGGCCCAATTCGTTGGCCACGAAAAGGTTGCAAGCGAATTTTGGTTAAAATGCAAATTGAAAATTTCACTGCCAGAAAAATAGTAAATTTTAAATCCACTCCCGAGTGTCATACTTTCCCCTTCTAGTTTGTGTCCCTTTTGCTTGGTGTGTGAAGATGGAATATCCGAAAGGGCTCGGAAAAAAAGTAAAACCGGCACGGGTTGCTCAAGGCAGAGTTTGCATTTTCAATTAAAACCGATTTAGCCTGCAATCAAATCGGTTTTGATTTCCCTCAAAGGAATTTGCTTAGTCAAACACAAAAGAGGGAATTTATTTTTGTGGTGCATTGGGTATTGGTAAGTCCTTGTAAGAAGGTGAGTGACCAAAAAAAAAAAATGGGAGGAACTATTCCCCCAAAGCCGATTAATTTACTGGGTTTTTGCCGTGTCCCCGGTTTGTTTGGTTTTGCCATGGAAAAGCGCCTACTCTCGGCCAAAAGTGTGATCTGGCCATTTATAGCACTTGACGACAGTCAGTCACACACACGAGGCAAAAAGAGTGAAACGTGCAATAACACTCAAATTGTTTTCTTGTTTTCCTCAACCAGAATTTGCCCGTTTCCAGGGACAGTGGCCCAAATCCGCACCCCACAGGGACTTGGAGTTCATATTTAAGCCGGCTTGGACTGAAACGCCAGCGGAATAGTAATGCCCACAAATTAGGCCAGTGGCAGACGCAATATTACTGAAATTGGCATTCATTCTACCGGTGGCAGACAAAAATCGGCAGCAAGCATGCTCACCATGCCCAGCCAGCAGTTATGCAAATTCTGCAATTGGTTTAGGCCACTACAAAATGAACAACCATTTTGGACATTAGGCCAAAGCTCATCGGCATCCCCAATGTCATCAGAAATGGCGATAGTCGGATACTAAGCAGCAAAAAATATAGCTTAGAAACTCTCAAAATTAATCAATATTTACAAGGAAATGCGGAAAAGATGTTGAGCTTAAAATATCTAAAACGGCTTATGTTAACTAAAAGTTGCAGGTTCTACTGCACACTTTGCCTTTTTTACCCAGCTATAATATCGCCCATACGTATCGTTAGCAAACTTGCACACGCCTATTTTATGTTCCTGGTTGGGACAACTCAATTAAAGCTAGCCAAACCAATACCTATCCTTGGGCAGCTGTATACAAATGTCATCAATTAATTAAGAGTATAGTGTTTACTCGTATTTCGAAAAGTCTTGCTGAGCCTGCGGCGTTGGTGCGTAGGTTTTTCCACAAAAGCCATTCGAACAACTATTTCATCCCAATGGTCTCCAAAGTGAGTAAGCCCACCCACTGAGCCATGTGCCATGTGCCATGTGGCATGTGCCATGTTTCACTTTGTATGCTGCAGCCCTGGTCGGCCAATAACGCAGTCACCTGGAGGATGATGGACTAGAATGGGGATGGGGGCGGGGATCCTGTCCAGACTGGCCCACATGGTGTACTCGTCCTGCCACTCTGACCTCTTAGTTAATATTTCATGGATTTTATCTTTTTTGCTGCAGGCTAAAGAGAAAGATAGAGGATGATAAAGGAAGAGCTTAAAAAATGATTAGATTCTGTTGGAGGCACGAGCTTTTCTTTTACCATCGATTAACTTTCGAGGGGAAAAACTGAAATTTAATTAGTCTCAAAATATTTATTGCGAAAAAACAGCTTGAAAGTTGTTTGCAGCAACTTCTTTATTTAAAAACAAAGTTATTGGACAACGTCGGCAAATATTAGCGGAAAAGCGCGAAAAATAAAACTAATGGTTTCCAAACTTAATTCATCATAAATTGCATAAACTGAATAGCCAAAATAATAGAAATATTATATATTTATGTTGACATTTTCAGTTTCGGTCTTTATGGTACCCCAAGTAAGAACTTGGGTTCCTATTTTATAATTCAAGGCACTCAACTTTTCGTCTCGCCAAAGGTCAAGAGGTCTTAATCTGCGCAATATTCGTGGGACGTGCATCATTAGCGTGGCATCAGGACACTCAGGATGCTCGGGAAGTCGCATCAGCTGCGGGTCTTCATTTTTCATGTAATTATAAAAATATGCGTGGGCCCACGAGCCGAAAACGCACGCAGTAATTACATGTCCAATAAAAAGTCATGGTTGTTTGGAAGGACAAAATGGCGGCGGCCGTAATTAAAACGCCAAGCGCTTGTGGCCAAAAGAAGACGGAGAGCCACTTGACTCGTGGCCATCTGAAGCTCATCCGCACCTGTAACGCCATCCGCGTCCTGCCCGCATCCGCCAACGCTGGTGTTTATGTGGAAAAGCCAGCAAACGGAGCAGCGGAGCAGCGGAGCAAACAGGAGACGCCGACACACATTCTCGCATAAACCAGAAAACTTTTCACCGGGGAGCACTTTGGATTATAGCCGCCTCGAGTGCACATAAAACACGAGCCCGAGGACTCAGATTGCTGCATCTATCTAACTCACGAGTTACTTCGGTGGGGTCGAGACTCTGGGCCTGATAGTTGTGTCGCCAGATTCGTGTTACTCCAGCTGCGGGCTGGCAATCTTAATGAGTCCCCTTTGGGGGCCGCCAAGCAATTAAAGTTCAAATGTGCCAAATTACAAGCTGGGAGTCACGTCAAATGGTGGGCCTTGGGAATGTATGTACATGTTTATACGGAAAACAGCTTGCATAGAGAGTGGGTGAAAAAATATGAAAGCGCCCCACCTCAAAGGAGATCAAATTAGAGTAAATTCCAGTCTCGCAATGACTAATTGGGTAACTTTGACTTTTGCTCAAGGAACTTCAACGCCATCTGTTACCTCTTACACATAAGCAAAATTCCCTATATTCAAGTAATTCATTATTTTATTTCCTTGCAACAGATCTTAAACAAAAAATGCTGCCGCTTAAGTACAGTAAGCACTATATTTACAAAGACGCAATGCTTCAAAAGCATAACATAATTAATTACAGATGCTCTT